TTCCATTCTTTTTTTTCTGGCACAGAGATGTCATGAATGGGTTTCAGACATACCCTTTTCTCTTGAGTTCTCCCTCCCTTCCATCAGTATTGGTCTTTCAACTGCTTTTCCAATGACTCATCCTAATTTCATTTTGGGATTCCTCAAAGTTCCACTGTCCTATCTCTCTGACCCTCAAATCCACCATATTATTTGGAAGTTCATCTAATATCTCTAAGCTTCAAAGTCACAAATTTACCCTTATATTCCGGACTGTCTTCCAAACTAAACTCTCAACATGCTTCTTTGATCTCCTGAAGATATTAAGCTCAAAATGGTTACATCTTCTTCCTGAGGAATTTTTGATAATTTCTCACTCAATTACTGTGGACAATGGTATCATATGTGTTCACATCACAAGGATGTCATCTTTAACTTGGATTGTCCCTTGTTTTCAAATGTCAAAAGTATGCCTAAGGTTCTTGAGACTCCTGCTGCACAGCACCTCCAAATGTAGCTTTTCACACCTTCACATGATTGAAATACTTGTCCATGCCATCATCTAACGTCTTCATTATTACAACTTTCTTTTGTTTGGAATTGACAAAAGGAACCTTAATTAATTGGTGTGCTCAAAATGCTGCTTCTTGCAAAGATCATTTCCCTGGCTCACTGAGTGAGATAAGCAATGCTTCACTTTGCAGCATAGCCTCTCCCTCCTCTACCACCATGTAAGTTACTTTTGCAGCTGTTCACTGCTTTTTCTTGCACTAATGTCTTTCATTCAGCTTCAAGAGGTTGAACCCCTCTCCAGTACACAAATACTTCCTTCATAATTCATCTGGTCAATTCTCAAAGAAGCAGGCTTACACCCAGGATCCTCTTTATGCTTGGGAGCAGTTCCTAGTAAACCCAGCAGAACTACTTAATGATCTTTCAAACAGTTCCTGCAAATGCCCTTTCTCTAACAGAAGCTGGACAAAAGTTAGCCGATTGGTGCATACAATCCATTAGCTGCTATTTTTAACTGTGTCACTTCCTCGCCTTTTGCTCCCAATCTCCTGTGTAGACCAGATGGCAAGCTGGCCAGAGACCAAATTTGTGGTTTGCATCTTTATGAAGGGCTCAGCACAGTGAAATCTCAGCTCACGCACAGGCCCCTGAACACTGTGGTATCACAAACCTATGAAATATTATTTATAACATATAACAAAGACAAGGAGCATAAACTCATCTAAGTGAAAACCACTGTGTTTTTAATACTTATAAGGTCTTTCTTACAGAACTGATCTTTATCATTGGAAACCCTATCACATTTGGCCTAAGTAGAGCAGGGTGGAATTCAGGTCACCTAACGCTAGACATCTTCATCAGTAGTAATTCCCTAGACTTTTACTGTGAACAGCAGAGGAACAAACATGAGCACAATTCATCTCATCCTAAATAGATATCTAAGGCAAATGTGACTCAGGGCCTTTTGGTACTTATTTCTTCCTTTGGTTATAAATAAGGCTGGAGCAGCAGTGCAGAAGAATAGTGCAGATGTCTAGACAGGTTAGACATGTTATAATATCTGGAGGCATAAGGCAGCATGCTTTTCTCAGAACATTTGTTAAGTCTTTCTTTCAGGTGTTCCAAGCACAAAACTCCTACCAAGAACTTACACACAGGGAAAGTTTGTGTCATCAAACATAGAAAAAAGAACATAATAGTTATTTTCTGATTATTCAAAAGGAGTAGCAGCTGCTCATTTCTGATATAGAATACACATTGGTCTATTGTTTCATCTGGCACAAGAGCAATGAGAGCTTAAGTGTTGTATTTTCCTTAATCTTTATTTAGTTTTAATTAATTTTAAAGTTTAATCACCAACATCCCCTTTGCCAGTTTTTTTGTACTTGACCTGAAAGTAATCTTTAGACAAATGTAAAAGCAAAGAGAGCTCTGAAACACTATTTGTATGTTCTTTTGTCTTCAGAAATGTAAATTAGAGCACTGGGTGAATAACACTGCGTGGCTTTGTGTCATGAAATGTAATTGTGGGGCTATGGCAGGGTCAAGATTTATGAAGCTATTGGGACTGGAGTGGGCAGGATGCCAGCTTACACCTGCAGCATATTGTTTTTGCTGCTTTCCAGTCAAGTAACATGGGAGTAAGAAACACTGGTTTCTAAGCAGACATTATTTAACAGAACAGCAGGCACTTTCTTAAGATGGGCAGGAAACTTACAGACTGGGAAAAAAACAATGAAAATAAAAGACATGGGAACTGTAAACTTGAATTTATACAATTTAAATAAACAATAGCTTTGAATATGAACAAAGATAGTAATAGAAGAAAGAATATTCTGAGGAACACAAAAAAGTAAGTATTTAGACATGAAAGAGACAGAAAGAAATTATAATAATTTAAATGAAGTAAATGATTTATATACACTAACTTGTCTCAATAACAATTTATTTGTAATCCAAGAGGCTAACCTGCAAAAATACAATGCCTTTTTAACTGCTATTTAATGTGAAGCAAAGCAAAGCAACCAATCAAATACATAAGCATATGTAGTATCTTTGCCTCAGTGCCCAGCCTTCTATTGCTGCTCATCATCTTATTCTCCATCTTATTTATTCACAGCTCACTGACCAGATTACACAGTCACCAGCTCCTCAGGCTTCGGGGGAAAGCAAAGTAACCTTTATATGAGTCAAATGTGCAAAATTAAGGAATTCTGGAAAAAAAATAAAAATCAGCTTTCTTGTGTATGCTCTACATTTCTGATTTGCAATTAATAACATATCTAGAAAACATATTTTTTTTTACTTAAGCAATATCTGAGTAGCCCTAATTTACTTGAATATATTCAGTGTATAATTTTATATATCTTTGTATGAATTCTCTGTTGATTGGGTGCAAATATACATTTACCCTGAACACAATTGTCAGATCAAATAGAATTATTTCTAGTTTTCAAGTTATGAGCACACATTCATATGTTACATGTTAATTTAAATCACAGTATTTTAAATTCTGAAGTTCTTGCTTTTTCTAAATATCTTTCCTCAATCACAGAACACAAAAGTAACTGTGCACATACTAAAAGAAACCATTAAATCCCTTACCATAAATGTCGGTTTGTTTGGTTTAGGGTTTTGGTTTTTTTTTGACTTACATAACTTTTAATCAACTTTTCTTCCCAATAACGTCAGTTTGCATGCTAAGAAAGTTAGCTAAACAAGAGAAATTAGAATGTTATCTTTTGGCATTGTGTAATCTTGTAACAGGGGGAAAAAGTACTCTTAATTCCAAAGCAAACAAGAAGCTACAATGACTTATTACAGTCACACATCTGTGCTTCTGCTTATGTGCTTGTACTGGGTGAATACATTAGATCATTCTCTGTTTAAGATGCAGGGAACAGAGTTCTGTCCTATCTTGTCAAGCACACATTCTTGTTCATAACAGACAGCTGTCAAAAAAAAACAAAAGGCTGGTTACTCAGCTAAGACAAATTAATACAGTTAATTTCAAAGTCAGTGGGATTTTCAGATAGCAAGATTTTGGTACTGCCCCATTTCTATTTCCAACTTGAACTTCTATGAATCTTGGTCCAAAGCCCTTTTTGTCTTTACAGAATTTCTGAGTTCTCCTAAGGACTCATTATACTCTGAGTTTTCTCCATCTGGGCTTGTATTTTTTTGTTACACGTTTAACTTGGCTTCCAAATGATAATGTTGGCATTCATTAGCAAGATCTTCTAATTTCAGCCATTTGAGTGCAAATTTTTAATAAAATCTAAACAGGAAGACAAATAGCACAGAAACGGTCATTAAAATGTTTCCATTTGAAATAAAATGATCTATTTAATGTGTTAGTTCCATCTGGCAAGGATGAGGTTTCTGTTGGCATGCAGAAAATTCAACATGCCAGTCTTGGCATTGAGTTTCTCATTGGAAGCTTCCATTCCAATAAACTGTACTACAACAGGCTAAATAATTGGATGAAAATCATCTCATTATTTATGTTTTAAAAATTCAGAGCCTTACCACTGCTTAATACTCAGAAAGAAGATTTAGAAGGGAAGTAGGTACATTAAGTCTGGACTTAAGATAAATAAGAGAGGGTACCTTAACTCTGGGAACAGCAGTACTACTACACATTTTCATTGCTAGCAGTACTAACCAGACAATAAATGTGGAAATAACAATTGAGTTGAAAAGCCTGACTCCTTACAACGTCAGTATATGAACTTCTGTCTTTTCCCTGCTGTTTACGTCTAAATTTATAAAGAATATAAGAACATTTTGCATCTAATGTTTGACAGATCCTATTACAATTTCTTCCTACTCATAGTGTACTTCTTAACAGTGCATACAGGAGAAAAGGGCAAGGAATTAATCAGAATGCCAAAAGAGTTGGGTTATACAGTATATATAAAGCACTTCAGCTACATTGTTTGCACAATTTCTGTAGGGAGTTGTGAAATAGAGGTCTTAAATTTAACATGTCTGGCTTACTTCCACCTGGATTGACTTCAGATTTGTTGCCTGCATCTTGCTGAATACAGAGTGGCAAATCAGTCATTACATTAAGAATTGATGGCGAATTATTCCAATTCACATTTTTCAGCTGGCATGTTTTTTAACCTGGAGCAACACCAAATTGAAAAATTCTGCAAGCTGGGCATAAAAGCTGTGCTGTAGACTAAATACGTTTCCAGCTCTATGAAGTCACCAAGGGGATTTTTCTCCAGCATTTTCCCAGTCACTATGCTACCCACTGAAGTTACAAGGTATACTAAATCATAGCAGCCTTCCAGTATCTGAAGGGGGCCTATAAGGATGCTGGGGAGAGACTCTTCATTAGGGACTGTAGTGATAGACAAGCAGTAATGAGTTAAAACTTAAACAGGGGAGTTTAGATTAAATATAAGGAAGAAGTTCTTTACTGTAAAGGTGGTGAGGCACTGGAATGGGTTGCCCAGGGAGGTTGTGAATGCTCCATCCCTGACAGTGCTCAAGGCCAGGTTGGACAAAGCCTTGGATGGCATGGTTTAGTGTGAGGTGTCCCTGCCCATGACAGGGGGGTTGGACCTAGATGATCTTAAGGTCCTTTCCAACCCTAACTATTCTATGATTCTGTGGTTCTAACTCTCATCCTGTTCTTTTTCTCCCTGCTACCAGTCAGTGTCAAAGCTGCCCAGCTCCTGTGATCCATGGTTTAGCATCAACACAATTTCAATGCGTTTATAAATGCCTGATACAGACTTAAACACTATTCGCTGCAAAGGTAAAAATGTACCTCTGAGATTAACCTGCTGCACTTTCTGATTTGAAGCACGCATTTTTATTCTGTGACGTTGCCAGCAGTTCTGTATTTTTCTATCCTCTATCAGAAATTGAGCAGTCACTCAGATGTCTTTCAATAGCTTATAGAGACTTAACTCTACCCTATAAGTACTGATACACATTTCTCACTTAAATTTTTGAGAAAACCCTGACAATATCTAGAGTTTATGGACATGAATGAAAATTTTACTGCCAGTCTTACATAGCATAGAAAGGAAATCTACCAACCCCAAACTCTGCAACTGATGTTATTTTAATCTGCATTCCCTAGTGGCCATTGAACACTAGATGTATTGAAATCTGTATTGATTTTGTGATGTTGACAATTGTAAATTTACGAGCTACAAGAGAATATTTTAATAATGTCACAACAGCTCCAAAATAAATTTCCAGTGTATCATATGTTGATACAGAAAACTCGTTTAAAAAAAAAAAAATCCAATTGGTGGCTATCTTTCTTCCTTTTAATCAATGCAGTTTGAACAGATACAACTTTTATCCCTGTAAGAATGTAATGCATACCCTCTATTAACCCGGTAAAAGTATTTCTGTAATTTGTGACAGTATAAAGGCAATAGACAATTAATTTGAACCTATCATTCACAGGAAATGCAACTGAGACAAATACATTCCTCGATACGTGCAAGAGTGCCACTTGAATCAAATCAGTTTTGCCTGGACAGTTTTATAATATTCTTCAAATAATATAGGTACCTGACCAAGGAAGTGACTTCTATCAGTATCTGCCCTTGTATTTCTGTAAAAAAATTGTATTTTCATATAATTCTGGTTATAAATAAGTATGAAAACATTGGTCAGTGTAACACTTTCTATAAGTATATCTCAGCATGTGAAGGTAGATCTTATCATCCATGTGGAAAATTGGGAAAGGAAAAAAGGAAAAGGGGAGGAAAATAGGGAAGTGAAGATTTCCTGGAGATCATAAAGTGAGCAAGTGGGAAAGTTAAGAATGGAAAAAAAGACTGAAAAGTGAAAAAGAGAACTGCCTTGGGTATACAGCTTTGTCATACTTTTATGTTGAATGGAAGTTCTTTCCCCACCTATTCCATCAGAAAAATACTACCAAAAGGAACTTGATCTAGGCAAGGAAAAGGTCAGCATTCTTCCCATACTTCCTACAGTGGCTCCTGGTGGGATAAACTTCCATCTGTCCCAGGAACAGTGAAGCCAGTGTCTGTGTTTGCATATTGAGGTACCTTTCCCACAAAGAAAAGGCAGAGATTTAAGTGTTGTTTTTTAAGAGAAGGAAAGAGAAAGCTAAAGAGAACATATCTCAGTTACCTTTTCATTGGAAATATCTCAAAAACTACATGGGTTTCAGCACAAATACAAAATCTGTAGAAATTCTGTGTTTTTACATATTATTTTCAACTTAAATCTGGCATGGAAAACTTAAAAGACAAAGGTGCTTTTAAAACCATTTTTTACTTATAGCAACAACTGCGACAGTGACACAGTGAAAAGCTCTGTTTATGTCAGAGATAGGCTGGCAACTCAAATCCAGCTGCCATGGAAACGTCAAGTTGAAGCATTCTCAGTCAGAAAGCTAAGGTTTAGTTCAGGGCCAAACCCAGAATGTTCTATTCCTAAATTTGATACAGATGCAGCCCAAAACAATAGCCGTCTTGTGATAAAAGCTTCTATTGTGAGAAAGTCACATCTGAGATGCTTTGTTAACCCAAACCATACATTTGTGCTGGTGAAGTCAGTAGAAAAATCTAACTGTCCATCAAAATCCTGCAAAGAAAGGGACCATGTCATGGGTAAGTTAAGCTAATGAACAATACACGAGATGACTGCAGTTCTAACACCTCGCTCAGTCAAGCTAGACTGAGTGTGCTTGCAGCACAATCTAGCTTTAAAGTAATTTAAGAGCTGTCACTAGAGCAGTCACAAGAGGAAGGAGAGTCCAGCAGTACAGGTGCCACCCAAACATTCTTATTTCCACAGGGAGAAAATAAACCATATCAAATAGCTAGTCACACACTTCGGTGCAGTTGCAGGACATGAAGAAGTTATGTACATTACGTGTTTGCTTTTCACAGTGGTGTCTGCTTATGCAGTGTGTCCAGAATCTGTTCTCAGGCACAGCTATAATTCCCCCTCCATTCGCTGTTGGTCAAATGATGTCAGGTAAGACTTTCACTCAATAAAAAACATTAAAAATATTTAATGTTTTTCTGAATAGGCAGCAGTGGAATATCAAATTCTATATTTGAATAAAATAAAATTTTTGCTTACGACAACTTTTGTGTTTTAAACAAATTAAAACAATATACTGAAGAACTGTATAAAAAATTAATGCTGGCATGTACAAAAAGCAATAATCTTTCCTGATATGTACTTTACCTTCCATTTTCTCATGCTGATGATACCTGTTACTGGTAAAAAATAAAAGTTTGATCAAACAACAGTGATTTATGAACCTATTTGGCCCAGAGAGTTTGCTTTTTAGATCTTTTATGCACATATTTATTTGACATCCGTTGATTTGCCAGTGAATTCCATTGCAAATGAATGCTTCCACACAGTGAAAGAACACATCTACATTTTTCCAGGACAATGTCTAAAAGAAGGCGAGATGCTCCTGAGAATCCAAATTAAGTCAATTGCTTAATTTTGTTATGCTCAGTTCTTTCAAGTGTTTCAGACTCAGCAAGTTTCTACCTTGTTTCTAGCTTGTTTCTGGAAAGGCTAAGTCTTCTGTAAGTTGAAGAGTCTGTCATATACTAGCTAAGACTTTCTGACCATATAACTATATGCTTGGAAATTAAATCTAGAGAAAAAGCTTCATGTTAAATTACAAGCATGTTTTAGTTTCTTCCACTATATAAACATACCAATTTCATGAACTGATTCACCTCTGTTTTTGGAATCTAGTACACAAAAGGGGTCCTAGATATAAATTAAAATTAAGTAAAATTTTTAGCTTTCAGAGATGTCTGTTTCTTCTGTGTGCAAACCATTTGTCTCAGAAAGGCAACATTCTCAATAATCTCCCCGGTAAGATATTTCCTTATATTTGGCCCATCTTGCTCTACTCTATTAGCCTACTGGAACCAAAGTTTATTAGAAAATTTGGCTCATTATTTTGTAGGTTTTTTTCTCAGCCAGCCAAATCTGTTTTTCATCAAGGCTGATGAAATCCCCCAGTTTATAAAACCTGCCCTCAATGTGTTTGCGCAAGTGTGACGTTTGGTTTTTAAGAAGCAATCGTGCATCTCTAGTTTCACCTTATTTTATGCTTCAGTAAACAAGCTGGAAGAACAAAGAGGCCAAATTCATTCCAGAAGTAATTCCATTTACTGAAGCTGACTTTTTTTTCTAAATATGGTCTGACAAGTTCAGTCTCAGACCCCTCACCTGACCGTATACCACAAAACCCCCAAAATCTGCTAGGAAATTACTCACTTTTGGCTGTACTTGGAGGTATGAACAGACATTTTCTTTCATTGTTCATGTTAGAGAACATCAGCAGTACCCTGATGATTAAAATGTATTTCATCTTTACCTACTACTTTGCTTCTTACCACAAATGATGCAAGTTTTCATCTGTTGATGTGTCTCCTTGAGATTTTTAGATGTTGCTCTCAGTCTAGTAAAAACATAATTAAAGAATCAGGTACCCTTACTGTCCAATATAATTTTGGTGGGGTTTTTTTTTGTTTTGTTTTGTTTTGACATTAGGATGATTTCAGCACCCTATAATTTGCAAATAAGAACAAACAATCTATCTTCTAGAAACTAGCAATGGTCTTTGGCTCTTGTGATCTAACTGATGTTGTAATCACAGTCAGCAACCGTTGTGCCAAGTTTTAAATTTTCAGATAAGCTTTTCACAGTTCACAGCAATATTTTAACTATGGAACTAATAGCAATTGGTAAACTTGGAACAGAAAGCTTAATAGATGACATATCAAAAGCCTGAACCCTGGCACTGCAGTTTTGAATGGAGTTTTGAGTGCCAGAAGCTGTGAAAATCCTTGAACAGAAACATGCACTGACATTTCATTCAGTCTTTCCTCTTATCTAGGTATAAAATAATACTTATTTTTCTCCCTGCTTTTAATATATGTGATTTATACGCACATAAAGTGTATTTTTTTTCTAATACATATGCAGTTAAGCCAGAATTTGCATTCTGTTGTTCCTTTGTTTTATTCAGTCTGGGTGGTATGGAATGCCTTTTACACTGTATTCTGTCCTTACTGATGAAAGCCAGGTAAGTTTTTAAAGGATCACTGCAATCAAAGATCACCAAAGTGAAAGGATTTACTGCTGAACCTCAAGTAAAAAAATGACAGACTGAGCTTCCAGCAATGCAGTTAGGAAAACGCTGAGTAACTTTAATAACTTTGTTTATTCTTCTAAATGCAACATTGTATTAAAAGTATGGTTACCTGTCATAAAACCTCTAAGATGTTGCTGATCACCAATTAAAGCAATTATCATCTTCATGTTTTGCTGTCTCAGGATAAGTAGTTTCAGGACATATGACGGATAACTGAATTTTTTAGATGTTTCCATAAGCAATAATTCAGAGTCTGAAGGGAAAGTAAAACCGTATTTTTTGGCATGGTACTACACCAGCATTTATTGTGTAATACTTACCTGTTCTTAGAAGTTGGTTGGGGTTTTATTTATATTTTATATTTTTAATTTATATATATTTTATTTATATATTTATATGTTTTATATAATTTTAATTTCATTGTTTCTATATTTTTATTAATTTATATTTTATTTTTATTTAGATATTATTTATATATTTTATTTATTTTTTAAAATTTATATTTTTAACATTGTAGACCTCACTACTACTACAGAAGAAAATGGGTGATCAGATAATGAGGCATAAGTTGGCCAGGGGTAACAATCTAGAATAATCTAATGTGTTTGTACTTTGAGCTAAGTTCTGACAATAGTTATCACTGAGCTCACCTTAGCAGCACCTATAGAAACCAGGGAAGTAGCTTTGCTGCCAAGTAATCCTATATACACAGTGCGGTTGTGTTTACTCTCTCTTTTCCCCTCCCTCATTTTCAACATTTGTATGTCTCCTACTATGGCAGGCTGAGAGGTTTTTGAAAATACAGTGAATATATGCTCACTATGCCCCCTAAGAGACAGGAAAATAGCATAGCCTTATCATGCACAGTTGAATTTGAGGTAGAAGTATACAGACAGTTTATGGAAGAACCGAGATCAGCTAAATAAAAGTTCATTTGTCCCAAGGTTTCTGGTTTGCAGAAAAGAACTGAGAAAGGAAGAAATAAAAAGAACTAAAGAAATTGCCAAAAACACATATGAACGGATTTTACTTGTAAAAACTCTACTGGTAGGTCGCCCAGCCAAGTCAATCTGTAGCAGCCGAACAGAATTTAGCAAGCATATAGTTCTACCCAATCATCTCTAGAACAAGTTTGGGGATTTTGTTTTGTGGTTTTTCTTTCTGGTTAGTTAGTTAGTTTGTTTGTTTCTTTGGGTTTTTTTTGGTTTTGGGTGTTTTGGGGTTTTTGTTTGGGGTTTTTTTGTGTGTGTGCGCGCTTGTATGTGTGATTTTTTTTTTAAGATGAAGAAAACGCAGAATAATATTTAATTTTCCACAAGTAATGGTTATTTTTAGTAAAAATACTTAAAAGTCCACTTCTGAGAAAAGTATTTTAGTTCAGAAGCAGTAACTTTCCCCAAAAAAAAAAAAAAATTCTGTGAGACATAATGCTTTTCTGCAAATGTGTCTGTATGGAAAATATATTGCTCACAAAAGTTATGTATCTTATTAGAGAAACCATTGTTATGGCTGGGCAAGACAAAACAGAATTCTGAGGATTTGAAATCTGTATTAATATTTGGGACAAGGATGTGTTTTAAATCCACAGCATTCAGATTTAGAAAGGTTGAGGAGATTATTTATACTTAAATCTTGTGAGCCAGGGGGGGCACCCAGTTTTGTATGACAGATATGAGCTATTTTACCTATTTAAACTCATATACTAAGCACAAATATATAATACAAAAGTAGGTGGAAACAAACTTTTTTTTTTTTTCCTACATACCCCCTCCAATTCAGCTGCCATAAACCAGACCAGAGACTAGTGTCTTGCCTAAGCACATCACTGGTCAGGCCAATAGGCCTTGCTAAGATATACACTGCATGCCTAAGCTAATCAGCTTTGCCAGATATTTATTCCTTTAGCCACAGGGTTGTGCTGACTAATTATCCAGATCACTACAGGACCCTGATCAGGGACATCCATAGGCCCTCTTTAACACACTTGCCCCCTATGTGTGTCCAAGCTAATGGATTTAAATCTAATTCAAGTATATTCTCCTAGACACACTAATAACTGAATTGCAGGAAGACAAAACCCTGGTGCACCAAAGATACTCATAAGAGCATTAGATGTAATAATAAGGCCTGTTACCCAAGTTACTCAGGAAATTAGGCTAGGTGGGAGGGTTTTTTTAACAACTATGACCAAATCAGCACTGCATGAAAGCAGAGAATGTAAAAGTGACATACAAATAACATAGGCAGAAGCACCATGCCAAGATTTTACCATGGCATTCTATTCATAGAACTTGGGTTATCCAGAAAAATCTAGTATGTGCTATATTTAGCATTTGCCATTCTTTCTTCAACATACAATACTATACAAAATGCCAAAATAGAAACTAAAACCTAAACTAATAAAGTCTTTAACAATCCATGGATAGCAGATTAACCACATAAGTGTAATCAAGCCCTGAGCATCTTTAGAAGAAAATCTTGCTTGATTTCCTCTGGAAGTTTTCCAAGTTAGCTCTTTTTGGAAGCAGAAAAACCCTCCTGTGAATGTGAACAAAAAAGAGGTGCAAATCCCCCAGATTTGCTTTTACTGTAAGATTATTAGTTGGATATCACCAAATGTTTAATTTTTTCCCAGCTATAGCAATGTGTTTACAGTGAACAGTCTACATGACTTTTTATTTTGCTTTCAGAGCACCACCACCCCATCACACACCCCACCACCCCACCCCCGATTACAAATTGTGTATGCTGACTGGCTCAGCTCATTTTATTTTGGTGATCCAAGGAAATTTTCTCTTTTTGTAAAAACAAATATGTTAGCACATTTTAATCAGTTCTTCTAAGCAACGTTGACTACAAATAAATAAAATAAAATTCCCTTTACTACTGTCTTGGTTTCAGTTATAGGAGTCATTTTTCTCCTCCTTAGTAGCTGGTGCAGTGCTGTGGTTTTGACTTTCAGCCTGGGAACAGTGCTGATAACACCGATGGTTTTAGTTGCTGCTCAGTAATGTTTTCTCTGAGCGAGGACTTTCTGAGTCTCATGCTCTGCCAAGGAGGAAGGGAAGCCAGGAGGAAGCAGAGACAGGACACCTGACCCAAATTAGCCAAAGGGGTATTCCATACCACAGCATGTCATGCCCAGTATATAAACTGGGGGCAGCTACCTGGAAGGGCTAGATCACTGCTTGGATCGCGTTGGGTATCGGTTGGCGAGTGGTGAGCGTTTATATTCTCTTCCCTTGTTATTACCCTTATTGTTTTTGGTGGTAGCAGTAGTGGTTTTGTGTTATACCTTAGTTACTGGACTGTTCTTATCTCAACACATGGGAGTTAAATGCTTTCGATTCTCCTTCCCATCTCTCTAGAAGCAGGGGGAGGAAGAAGTGCGGGGACTGAGTGAGTGGTGCGTGGTACTGAGTTACCAGCTGGGCGTAAACCACAACACTTCTTTATGGCACCCAACATGGGGCATGAAGGATTGAGATAACAACAGATCTGCCCAGAGTGTTTTTAATTGTATTTGTGATAAGCATTCATTGTTTTGGATTAATAGTCACTCATCACAATGCTGATTTATTTGCTCTCACGGCTGTTGCACTTGGTCTCTGAGTTTCAGCATGTTGTACAGCCTGTATTTGCTGGTTTAGTGCTTATCCGCTGGTGGGCCTGGGCTAAGGTTATTGTTTTGCTGTACTTCATGGAAATGACTTGTAACACAATAGACTCGCTGGTCATGAAACTGAGCTGGTATGCCTCCTCACTGTGATCATCACCTCTATACAATGGGAGGCATGCAATGGGAATTTTTAGCAATTACATACCTTTCTTTTTGCTTCCCTTGGGGACTCAACCTTCGAAGGAGATGTTCCCTCAAATCCTCTGCTCGCCCACCAGGCTATTTACAGTAGGAGTAGATTCTGGAACAGTTAAAGATCCTGAATATATTTTCAATACCCTTGAAAGCAACCTGCTCCTTTTGCTGGGAACCAGCTTATTGCTGCATATACTTTCTATGTTTTACCCACAGCCATCCCACCTTGAAAACGGCCTATTTCATCTGATCTTGAAAGTTAAGCAGTGTCCGGCTCGGGTCCTTTCTAGGGTTAAATGACAATATCTGAAGCTCACCAAGAGATTTTCCCCTAAGCTGGACAGTCGTGAGTGGCAGGGTGTGTGGGATCATATGGGCAAATATCTAGTCCATTGGGCCCCTTCAGTGCTTTGGAAGAGTTGGAGATGGAAGGCAGCTTTATGGAGTCCCCTACTGCCCTGGACATTGCTGAACAAGAAAAGTGGCCAGTACTTTATACTGACTCGTGGATGGTGGCAAATGCCCTGTGGGGATGGTTACAGCAATGGAA